CTCTCTCTCTCTCTCTCTCTCTCTCTCTCTCTCTCTCTCTCTCTCTCATTAACTTAATCAAATCATTTGAATGCAGTGTCTAGGTTCCTTACAGGTGTAGTAATTTTGATTTTCTGGGTCTTTTTTGGGATTTAACTGGCCTTGCAGCAGAGGTTGCTCAGTGTCCTTCGTAGCATGATTAACAAGCGTAATGTTCATGACTAACATTTAAAGCTGTGAGGAAGGCAAATGGAATTTTTTTTCCTTCTGTTCCTTTTCCTAGCTTGAAATATACTAAGGCATTGTAGTTTTCTGGTGCCTAATGAAACTGATACTGTCATTCCAGCTCCTTAGAGCAAGTACTGCATATTTATATATTCCCTTTAAAACTTAGAAAATAAACATGTTTCTAAAAAATACTAGCAAGTATGTTATTCATCCACAACAGTGACTTCTTGTTTATTGTAAAATTTACTAGAATGAACTGTCATCTACCTTTCAGCCCAGTAAATGTATAACTCAGTCAGTAGAAGCCTTCTAGATATACATGCTACTTAAGTGTGTTTTTCCAAATTTATGTCAGGACATGAGTTTGTTCTAAATAACTATAATACCACATATAGGGAAAACAACTGGAGGAAAAGCTGTTAGGAAGTTAATGGTTTCTGTGTCTGCCAAGAGACTGTGTTATAAATAAACATTTCTAGGTTTACAAAATGGTTTTTAACTATATCTCTTCCTAAGCTGCTTACAACTATTACTGAAACTAATTAATTGTAAAGCTTTTGAAAATATTATATTGTTTAAATATATTAGTAATGAAGAAATGGCTAACATAGGATGCTGGTTGTATATACTGCATGGATGGTTTAATGTACGTGTTCATGTTTAATAGCTGTCATTCACAAGAGTCTGTAGGCTCCAGCATAAAGGCAAATGGCTTGTTGGTTTTGTCTCTTGGTTTCTTGTGGACTTTTTATATATTTCATTTGCTGTCTGGTTAGTTGCTATTATATATCAGTCCATCAATAGCAGTAGCCCACTTTGATGTCATCTTTAAAATGCCTCTGTCTTTGGTGAGCCTAATAATGTTTTCCTTGTCTCTTTGTCTTAGCACACAGCACACCTGTTGATATGCCAAGCAGAGGGCAGAATGAAGACAGGGACAGTGGCATTGCTCGATCAGGTACTTCCTTATACAGCTTTAACGAATATAGTGGGCTCTCTATAGTGGAAAATAGGAAACAGAAAGGTAGTCTTCGCTCTGTCCTTCTCCCCAACCCTTTTCTTTACATTCCTCTGTGTTCTGAATATCTCATGTGTGAGTACATGAAACTTCGATGATCATCATCTCAGAATGATTCTGCACAGAAGCTAGTTTTATCTAATACTTAAATTTACACAAGACTAGTCTATGCTAATAAATGTATTCTAGCAGGGAGCTTCGTTATGCCCGTTGTACTAGCAGTTTGTTTGCTAACTGCTTAGTCAGAGGATGGAGCAGGCCTGTGGTGACCAGTCTACCTATCACAATGAGAGATGCTATCAGCTGACTACCACCTTTTCTATCCTGTGATGCTGATTTAGATAGTACCTCAGGTACCCTTCTCTGCTCATTTAGAGGCCTAACCTTGCCTAATACTGCCTTAAGACCCCTCAGTTTCAGCTCTTATACACAAATCTGCTTTTAATTTTTAATTTATGGTTCATATCTGAGGTTAGTTCCATGTTTCAAGGGCCCAACAAGGAGACATGTTGGGCTTTGCCTGATGAGTATGCATCCTACAGGCAGCCTTCCAGTGAGAACCATAAGTGTCCTACTGGTTTGTCCTCTGACCTTTGTCTCCTTCCAAAGGCCCACCAGCTAAGTGGGACTAGCTTCAGGCCTTGGCGTTTTATCTTTTCTTTTCACCCATTTATCACATACTGAAGCTCCCAGATTCTGCCTCAAAGCTCCTGGGTTGTTTCTGGGTACAGTCAGACCCCTGCAGCCACCCTGTTCAGCTGTTTCCAGAGTCACTATTGAAATGCAATAGTTGATAAATCTACTTATTTGGTTTATATGTGTGTTATTAATCCAAAGCACTTTGTTTGCGGTTAAAATGGATTTATTTTGGTTTCCCCCATCATTTTCTATGAAGTTGGGCTTGAATCTTTCGGCAGAAATGTAACTTCCGTTTATTAAGCCTATGCCTTTTTCATTGAGTAGCAGCAAGTTCTGAAAAGATACAAGATCATCTGTAGCTGAGTGTGGTGGCACACACCCTTGATCTAGTACTCTGAAGGTGTAGGCAGGCAGATCTCTGTGACTTTGAGGCCATCCAGGATTGGATTCTGAGACCCTGTCAGAGAAAGGGGGGGAGGGTAACCAAGGAAACTATATTTGTTAATACTTAATATTGCTCTGGAGAGTTTCATCCTTCCCTGTGGACCCCTGTGTGCTAAACTTTTGAGTCCCACCAGTTATTTAAGTCTCTTGAGTGCATTAAAAAGTTTAACATTTTGGGACTCAATCTCTGCCCTGTTGACCTGTGTGGGCAGGGCTGGCTGGAGCTGGCCATGGTGTGCTTGAGTTTCAAAGCAGAAGGAAAGGCTCCATCATTGGGGGTGGGAGTGCATGGAGCACAACCCTGAGCCAAGTGAGTCTTGGCTGAAGTTGATGCCTGTGTGGTAGACAGGACCCACTCTGTGTGGCTTTCTGTGGCCTGCTCCTCTGTGAGGAAAGGACAGTTACTGCTCGGCTGGGCCTCTAAAATGCTCCCTTTCTCCCCTCACGCAGCCTTATTTCACTTATGTCCCTTTTTGTGAGGCCGAGAACTCGAGAGAACTGACATTGACAGAAAGGTCACTAGGATGAATTTTGGGTTCTCCAGTTCATTTGCAAGTCAGCAGCTCTTATGTTGCATATTCCTCAGACTTTAAGTTGCTTTGCTAACTGCTTCTCCTTGTCCTTCAAGAAGCAGGTAGTTGAGGGTCCATGTTCACATTAAATACATAAAACTGACAGCTAGATCCGATAGCTTCTCAAAGCCCATTAAAAACTTGTGACTGACAAATGGGAATTTTGAGAGTTGGAGAAAACTTTCTTTGGGAGTTTGAAAATCTCTACTTTTAGCTTGTGGGTTCTCCTGTGTGAGAACTGACAGTGCCCTGCTGTATAGTGGCATTCTGTTCCTCTCACTTGTTGTCCTGGTATATGCCCAACTTCTGATACTGTCGGCTGACAGTTGGGCACTTCTCTGAAATCTCCCAGTCTGAACAGAAGGCACATTCTTTGAACAGAAGGACTTTTTAGGTTCTCACAGTATCCTAGTCTTTAAGATTTGTTTCCTCTCAGGCCACGCCTAATGGTATACATCTGTCATCTTACCACTCAGTAGACTGAGGCAGGAGGATCGTATGTGTATGTGTTAGGCCAGCCTAGATAAATAAAAAAATGAATTTAAGGGAAAAACTAATATTTTCCTTATTATCCACCTTACATTCCTAAGATTCCAGGCTAGAGTAATGGCTCAGTGGTTAAGAGCGTGTATGACTGTTCATCCTGAGGACTGGGGTTTGATTCTCAGTATCCACATGATGGCTAGTAACTGTGTAACTTCAGTTCTAGGGGGATTGTTAGTCTTCTGGCCTCCACAGGCACCAAGCACACATGAGCTACACAGATATACTTGTAAACAAAAAAATACATGTTAAAAAAAAACTTTTAAAAAAAAGAATCCTAAGATCCCAGTTCTGAAGCAAAATAAGGAGTGTCATTTGTTAGAGGTTCTTGTTGTTGTTTTGTTTTTTTAAAGAATTATTGTATTATTTTACATGCATGAGTATATTGCTTTCATGTGTGTCTTGCATCATGCACATGCCTGGTACCTACAGAGGCCAGAAGAGTGTGTTGGATCCCCTGGAGTGGAGTTAATAGGCAATTGTGAGCAGCTGTATGCATGTTGGGACTCAAACCTGGGTCCTCTGGAAGAACAGGTATTCTTTAACTACTGAGCTGTCTTTCTAGCCGTTTGTTTGTTTGTTTGTTTGTTTTTAATCAGTAAAAAAAAGTAGACAAATTTAAAACATCATTTTCTGAATTTTTAATTCTGTCTAGAATTAAGAGATAATCTTTTTAAAATATATTTTATATTTTAGAGCAGTTTTATGATTTACAGAAAAGTTGGGACTACCATAAAGTGCTCTTTTTCAGCCACCCCAGGTTGCTGTGTTAACGTCTGATGTTTGTACGTTGAGGCAGTTAACGGCTCATAGTCATTAGCTAGCTTTCATCATGTAGCACTTTCCATAATTTTTCCCCCAGTACCTTCTTATGCTCCAAGAACACAGTGTGTTTACCTGTCATGCTTATTCTGACTGTTTTGTTCTGTTTTTGTTTGTTTTGTTTTGTTTTGTTTTGTTTTGTTTTGTTTTTGAGACAGGGTCTATCTACATAGTCCTGGCTGTTAGGGAACTGTATAGATTAGGCTTGCTTTGAACTCATCCACCTGTCTCTATATGTCACCACACTGGCCTCCTTAGGCATTTTCCCTCAGACCTTCTTTGTTTTTGATAATCGTGATGGCTTTAGTCTTTCACTGGTTTCACTATTTGAATATGCTTTCACTATTTGAATATGCTTGCTTGATGGCTTTCTCATGATTAAACTGTGGTTGTGGGTTTGAGCTGCATAACCACAAAAGTAATATACCATCCTGCTCACAGGGTGTCAAGGGTATGAACCGGCAACATGATTTATGAGTTCAGTTACTGACCTTGTTTATTAATGAGGTTATATTAACTGGATCTCTTCATGATGAAGATGATTCCCCTTGACATTTATGCACATGCCTTACCCTTCACCTGAGACATGCTCCCTTTCCTTGAGGGGCAAGAGTCTGCAGAAATGATTTGAAATTTTCTGCATGGATATTGTGTTTTTCTCATTTCTTAACGTATACTTGGTTATTATTTAAAGGACATTTATCTTTCACTTTGGGTATAACCCAGTAATATTTACATTTGCCAAAGCTGCCCAGGCTTTAACCCTGCGAGCAAATGTGATGCTGGTGACACTGCTTTCACGCATGGGGACGGCAGGAGAGGGAGCTCTGACACCCCTGTTCTAGTACTGAGTACTTCTGAGTCATCTGTTGTTTTCTATCCCAGCTCTAGAGTCAGAGTGTTAGTGGTTCATAGACTGTCTCTGGAGGGCAGCACGGGTCTCTTGTGGATATTCTGAAAAAGTCTTCTGTATCTATATTTAAAATAAAAGCTAATTTAGAAAATTACTTTTGAAACAGGCTCATTACATTGTTGATCCGGTTGACTTTTTAGCTTACTCTAGCCCAGGCAGGCCTGGACGCTATGGTCCTCCTGCTCAGCTTTCACACCTGCCAGAAAGATCATTTTTAAGAGGTTGATTGTAATGGCTGCTATTAGAAATTTTCAAGCAAGTGGCTAGAGAGATGGCCCATTCTGTAAAGTGCTTACTGTATAAGCACTTAGGACCTGAGTTCAGCTCCATAGTCCATGTGAGATCTGGCGGTACACTTCTAGACTCTCAGCGCTCCTATGATGAGATGGGCAGTGGAGACAGGAGCATCCTCAGGAGCTCTTGAGTCAGCTGGCCTGAATGCACACGCACGGATAAAAAAAGAACATTTTAAGTAAGGCCTTGGAGAGAAGGCACTGGTTGTAGGCATACAGGAAGTAGCATTTTCAGTACTTGGCAACAACACCACATGGGTTACTAGGGAAGAGGGTGGAGCCATGCACAGCTCTCTGGTTTCTGACTTGAGGAAATAAACAGGGGAAGACAACATTAACCAGAGTAGAGGAGCATGAGGCCAGCAAGGGAGACACATCTGAGGTTTTGGTTTTTTTTTTTTTAAACTAGAACTGTCCCCAAATTCTCCAGTTGTGAATTATCTGCTGTATTTAAAAATGAGAAGTTGTCTTGACAGGGGTGGGTCAGAGCACCTGAAATCTGCAAGTCTTGGGTCCACAGTAATGAGTAGTGTAAGACTTATAGTCTGGGGCTTGAGACCAGTCTTCGAAGGCCAGCTTAGTAGTAGGCTGTCTTCCCCTTCAAAGTGTTTGTATTTAGCAAGAAAGAGAACTTTACCATCTTCACTGTAACTACATTTCCTGCATCCTTACAGTGCCCAGTATGAGGAAAACCATGAATACTTTTGAACATTTCTTTTTGAATGAAGTATGTGTAAATGAACCTTCAGAGTAAGAACAGACATTTGAGGTGTTCAGATCAAATACTTTTCAGCCTTGATGCAGAAACAGTGAAATGGTTTCTGAGATGCTGTGGTAGAACTATAGTCTAATGAGGTGAGCAGGAGCCACAAGGGTTACACAAAGAGGTTGGGCACGTTGTTTTACCATCAAGGAGCTCTCTGCTGAGATTAGACAATTACAGGTCTGTCTTTGGGGAAGGAGAAAGTCCTTTAAGCAAATGTAAATTGTGGGTTTTTTGGTTTTGGTTTGATTTTTTGAGATAGGGTCTTTCTACATAGCCCTGGATGTCTTGGAATTTGCTCTGTAAACCAGGCTGGCCTCAAACTCACGGAGATCTGCCTACCTTTGCCTCCCGAGTGCTGGAATTCTCAATGCTGAGCTGGCAAGAAGTTCCTCTCCCTTTCTGTGTCTCCATAAGTTTTCCTCTTTCTGTCCTGCCTCAGCTTGGGATATCAGTTTGAAGGACTTACCAGTGCAGCTGCTCTAGAGTTTTATGTCCTAGCTAGTTCAGAAACTTTAGGATATTTTGAAATATGATGTTTTTATTCAAGGGTCTTTTCTAGGAATGGTAAAATTCACATGATGCTTTTGAAGATTTACTTATTTTACCAGTGATGCAGACCTGGCCCATGCTAGGCAAGTTTTGTGCTGCTAAACTATCCCCAGCCTCCTTTGAGACAGGCAAACCTTGAACTTCTCTCTGTAGTAGTCCAGCCTCCTAAATAGCTGGTGTTACAGGCCCATGACACCAAGCATAGCTTAGGGAAACTTTAAAGCCATTTTGTAGTCTTAAAATGTATTGCCTATAATTAATTTTATTAATTATGTTTATTAATTTAATGTTTATTAATTTTCTGTATTTGAAAATGAGGATCAGAGGCTGTGCATGGTGGCACATGTCTTTAATCCCAGTACCAGGAAGGCAGAGACAGGTGGATCTCTTTGTGAGTTTGAGGCCAGCATGGTCTACATAGTGAATTCCAGGAAAGCAACGGTTACCTATATCTGGTCTCAGAAAACAAAATAAAGAAAAAGGATGGATGGATGGATGGATGGATGGATGGATCGATGAATGAATGAATGAATGGAGGATCAGGAGAGGGGAAGTCTCACAAGGATGAATTGGTTAATTTGCATAAGTTTAACCTCCAAGAAGAGAGTGAGGAAATAGGCCAAAGGAAGAAATACATGTAAGTAAGCTTTGTGATGTGATGCTGACTAAGTTATATACATGGGCTGTGTCTTTAGAGATCAGCAGTGTGTACTCCTTTGTATTTACAGTGTAAAGCCTGATTGTGTGCACTGGCTATATCTGCAGGTTTGTGGTTTAGGAATCCGTGTGACTAAGAATAGAAGGTGGCTGGGTGTGGGTAGGCTAGGATTCTTATTCCTCTAGAATGGTGATATTCATCTGTAATCCCAGCACTGGGGAAAACAAACAAAAACAAAAAACAAAACCAAACCTGTGTGGGTTTTTCATCTCTTTTATCTACAGAAATTTTTGTAAGAGAGAAATTTTAGTCTCCCCCTGCTGGATGTGATTGGCAAAAAATTTAGGGTGTGTGTGTGTGTGTGTGTGTGTGTGTGCGTGTGTTTGTACTTTTGGCTACTTTAGTACCAGCCTTTTTCCTACCAGCCTTCTCTACCCTTCCAACCCAACACTAGGTAGGGGAGAAAGGTTAGAAGAGAAAGGAGGCATCATTAGACTCCCTCCTGCTAATTAGGGTCATTGAGTTCCTTAGGGCAATGTTGATCTTTGTGGTCAGGATATCCAATTTCTTCTTTCTCTTTGCCCACAACCAGTTCACAAACCTCAGCAGCAAGGGAAGAACAGCCTCCCCAGCCTCTTGTGGCTCTGGCATTTTTATACCCTCTTAAGAGTCCCTAGAATTCCAAACATAAACTTTCTTCAGTTGGCAGAATCCTGTCCCTGCCAGAGAACACAACAAATCATAGTCATCGGCTGTGGTCAGTCTGAAGCAGCCGCATATCCCATACCTGGAATTAAAACAAAAACATAGTCACATAACATTTATGTGTTTTTAAAGAAATCAAAATTCTCACTCTGTGTGTGTGTGTGTGTGTGTGTGTGTGTGTGTGTGTGTGTGTGTGTGTGACGTTGAAATACACATTACATAAAATTTACCATTTTCCACTCTTTCTAGAGGTTGATTGTAAGGAGGCTATGTAGCTCAGAATTCCTGAGACTCAAAATTACCTAGCTAAGCTGACCTAAATCTCAAGCTCCTCCTGTTCCTGCATCTTTAGTGCTGGACTACCGTGCCTGTATATGTTTATTATTTGTTTATTCATTTGTTTGTGGGAGGGATGAGTGAGTGAACTTGTATGTACAAATGTATAAGCATGTGTTACCTTGGGTGTCATTTGCTTTCTGAGGTAGAGTCTCTCCCTGGGACGTGGACATTTCTGATTTGGCTACAATGACTGGCCAGTGAACCCCAGGGATTCTCCTGCCCCTTCCTCCCCAGTGCCAGGAAAACAAATGCATACTAGCAAGCCTAGGTTTTCATGTGGGTTCTGAGTAGTGTCCCCAGACTATGGAATCCATTGAAAATGTACAGCTCCGTGGTACTGTGCATCGTAGTGTGCATTGTAAGGACTCAAGCTGGACTTTCTCATTTGAAATGTCCTGCCTTGCAGCTTCACTGAGCAGCCTTTTGGTCACACCCTTCCCGTCTCCGAGCTCCTCTACATCCTCCTCCAGCAGTTACCAGCGCCGCTGGCTGCGAAGTCAGACAACGAGTTTGGAAAATGGCATCTTTCCAAGGAGGTGAGTTACTTGTTTCCTCGGGCTAAGGAAAGTGCTAGTATAAACAGCTTATGGAAACTGACAGGCTTCTCCTTGCCTGTTGTCAGGGCAAGAAGATCTGAAACCTTGTGATTAGCTCCAGCTTAGCCTGGAGTTTACATGTTAAATTGTTTAAGGCAATAGTGAATTAAAACTTAGGTAGGCAGGCCTGGAATACAGTATGTAGCCCAGATGGGACTCACTCATCTTTTGCTTCTGCTTCCTAACTGATAGGATTATGAGTATGTTGTATACACTGTGCCCAGCTGAAAACCCATATTTTTATTTAGAAGATACTGGAAATGCCTGGATAGCTGTGCAGTGTAGGTGCTAAATTTGGTGATGATTTAAAGAGAATATGCTCTATAAGCAAGAGAGGTGGGATAAATGCCTTCCCTGGTTACAATGATTCCAGTGTGATATTTGAGGCAGAGTTCCTCTGTGGCACTTAAGTTCTTAGACTAAACAGGTATGAATGTGAGTATTCATAGAGATAGCCTCAGGTTCTTTTCTACCTTGATTTCAGTTTGTTTTTGAACCTGAAGTTTCTTCAGTTGTGGACAGAGCATGCATTTGGTGCTACACCAGTAACATCCAGGCCCTTATTTTTGTATCTCAAAACATCTCAATGGAATTTTCACGTCACTGAACTGTTTGTGTCAATTGATTGAGTTTGTAAATTGCCTAGTAGTTATCCCGTTTGAGAGAATTTGTAAAGATGAGTCAACCATGTACTTGTGCTGATGTAGCTAGTGCCCCAGTAAACTGGTGTCAAGGAAGATCAGTACACGATAAACACCATGACAGTGTGGAGTACCTGGGAACGAACTGGGGAGAAGCACAGTGGTGGGGCCTCATGGGGGCTGATGAGGAGCCCCGTAGAAAGATAAGCTGGGCATCGAGAGTTGGGGGCAACTCTTTTGTTTTCTCAAAACCCTAGAGAGCCACATGCAAAGGTTACAGCTGGTCCTTCACTGAGCTGCTGCTCTTTGGTGAGTGGACTTCAGTGGAGTGGTGAGATTGTGGAGTCAGAGACAAGGACAAGTCTCTGCCCTCATCAGGCATGTGCTAGAGCATGCTCGCTGGGTTCTAGCAGCTTCTTCTCATGCACATTAGGGTGGAAACAGGTTCAGGCTAGGATAATAAAACCCAGGAGATCAGGCCACATTTGGTATACAACAAATAAAACATTGGTGGTGCATATGTATAATCCTAGCACTTGGGAGATAGACGTAGGGCAAGTTATGTCTAAAGCCAGCCTGCGCGACACACAGACATTGTCTCAAAAAACAAAATTTAGGCTCTCAAAATGGCTCTGTGGTTAAAGGCACGTGCTGCTGCCAAGCTTACTGACTTGAGTTTGATCTCAGGATCCATACGGTGGAAGAAGAGAGCCTAGGAAGTTCCCTGTGACTTCCAGATATGTAATGTGGCTTATGGACACAAACCACATACACATACAAAATTTAAAAGAAAAAATTTTTTGAGACATTGTCTCTACGTAACCCTGACTATCCTGGAACTCACTATATAGACCAGGCTGGCCTGGAACTCAACAGAGATCCACCTGCCTCTGCGTCTCAAATGTTGGGATTAAAGGTGTGTGCCACCATGCCCAGCATTCTTTTTTAATTGCAGATAAAATATTGGCCAGTGAGACTTATTTACCAGTGAGACTTATTTACCAGTGTTGTTGCTCTCGTTGATACCAGTCTGGCATCTTTCAGGTTCAGGACATTTCCATCCTCACTGCCTTTCTGCAGCCTCTGCAGTGGGAAGAGATGGATGCAGAAGGCTGTCACAGGACTGCTCTCCAGTGCAAATGCTCTTTCACAACTTTAGACTTATGTCTGAAGCTGTCTGTGTAGCGTTTCCAAGCTTATGCCTCTGAAATCTAAAAAACAAACTGAATGGAGACCTGGCACTGGAAACTGTGACTGGTTACTGAGCCATGGTGTGTGTGTATGTGTGCGTGCCTATCTGTCTGTCTGTCTGTCTGTCTTGAAACCCACGGACTGATGTGCTTCTACATCTTCCTTGTGGTTCTGTATCTTTCACAGAACATCCAGTAGCATGAGCTGGAGCTGATTTGTCAGCCAGGGTGAGCATCCCTATTGATATCCAAGAGCCTGGACTGGCAAAGGCAGTATCTTGGGTTATAATTCTAGAATCATTCTGAGAGCTTTCTATCTCCGGGCAAGCACTGCTTCTGTTTCTGTACTTAAAAACAGCTTTTGCAGCATACCTGGACCTGGACGGAGTGTGAAAAAGTATCTGGCTATACAATTGGATTCTTTGAACCATTCTCAAGCATTCTTTGTTGTGGAATAATACTTAGAAAGATAATTAGGATACTCTATGACCTGATTTGTTTCGGTGTGGATAGTTGATCCAGGACTACAGACTGAAGTCCTGTGGCTTTAGATGTTAGTAGAGATATGTGATAAAGACAGTAACATCTTGTCTCTGTTCAGCTAGGAAAGTTTTACAGCAGTTCAGCAGGTGGCACTCTCTGCTATGCTAAAACTGATAGCTGAGTTGACCACCGTTTACACGGTAGAGATGGAGATGAATAAGATAGCCCAGTGTTGATCACAGTTTCAGTATAAAAGTCTACCTTGGCTTGAGGAGGAATGGAATGATACGAGTGCTTTACTTTGGAGAAAGAAAAGAAATAGAACATTCAGCAAAGAGGCAGGCTTTATATTATCACACTGAAGAATATTGTGTTATTCTTTTTTTTTTTTTTTGAAACAGGGCCTAACTATCCTTGGACTTGTGTTCAAACCTATATCGTCAGCCTGTCTACCTCAGCCTCTTGAGCTGGTGGGATTGCAGATGTGCACTACCACACCTGGCTAGAATTTCTATATGCAGAACAGAAGTAAACTGGTGCACAGGAACAAGCTTTTAATACAGGGACTTTACAACAAAGAGTAGGAGCCTTTTCAAATATCGGTCACTTTCTGTGTGATTCTCCAAGCTTTTTCTGGTCACTAGGATCTGCTGATTTCTCAGAGAAAATGGTTTGTTAGAATATTTGCTGTGTTTTCATGACACCTGCAGACCTGATCACTCACACCCTCATCCCAGATCTTGAGAGATGTTAAGGAGAACAGAAACATATACCTCAGAGCCTAGAGCAAGGTGCTCACCTCCCTTCTTTTAAACATAGCTTTCCTAACCATGCAGCTTTGGATGTATGTTAGTGAATGTTAGTAAAAAAAAAAAAGTGTGTGTGTTAGTAAAATCCAAATATAGTTTAAAGCTTACAGGATACTGCAGACTGAATAGAGCCCTAAAAATGGTACAGTTGATAACAAAGAAAACGTGCCACATGCTGCTACGTGGCAGGCTACTTACACTAATTTGCATTATACTCTAGCCTTTGGTGTAGGACAAAACAATTTTTTTTTCCCTCTTGCTGTTCATAGCTATTGTAGCTGTCATGACTCTTCATAGCATTTAAATAAGAGTCATGGTTTAACCATAATTGCATTATTCCTAAGATGGATATTAAGAAGCTATTGGCTCTGTAATTCTTTTATTACAGAAGCAGAGTCTTTTGACTATATCAGAAGAGAGTTGAGCCTTTCTGCTTAGCAGATTTCCCAGAGTGCTCAGTTAGTTAATCACATGGCTTCCTCAGAGCATTTAGAGGAGTTACATCATCTGCTGGTTTTAATAGCTTTGGGGATGGTGCCAGTGAATGTCGAAGCAGGAATACTCCACAGGACCCGTCTTCTGAGTCTCTCATCTGTTCTTATGTGTCAACAAAAAACAAGGGCTTGTGTTTCATTTGTTTGTTTGTTGTTTGTTTTACATTCTAGGGCACATATGTGCCAGAGAGCACTGTGGACAACTTTCAGGACTCAGTTCCTGCCTTCCTCCTAGTTGAGGCAGGGTTTCTCTTATTTCTCCTGTATCATATTCTAGGCTAGCAAGCCGGTGAGTGTTCCACCACCAATTCTTTTGTCCCTCTCTGTTACTCACAGTGGGAATGCTGGGATTGCAGCTATGTGCTGCCACATCAGTCTTCTCAGTGAATCTCAGAGATGGAGCTCAGGTGACTGGGCTTGTGCAACACAGCAAAGACTTTTCCTCCACGAGTGCCTCTCTAGCTAGAACCTGTGTTTTGATTGAACTGTTGTCACCCACTCCTAAATGCAATCAAAAGAGTGAGAATCAAATGTTTAAACTGCTAGTGGCTTTTGTCTGAGTTTCTTTGGATGGTAAGATGAGAGTGTGTAAGATGTGTAATGTGGTAAGTGGATATCCTCTTGGTTTTTGATAAAGGTTTAAGAGAATGAGTTGGAGGTAGATAGCTGGCCTGCTAAGTTCTCAGTATTCTGCACAAGCACTCTGAGTATCATCCCATGACAAGACAGCTTACTTTCAGCGACTCACTGATACATGCCCACTTTTCAAACCTAATTTTCCCCCAGGTCAACTGATGAGACATTTAGCTTGGCTGAAGAAACGTGTAGCTCTAACCCAGCCATAGTTAGAAGGAAGAAAATCGCCATCAGCATCATCTTTTCCTTGTGTGAGAGAGAGGCAGCACAGCAGGATTTCCAGGACTTCTTTTTCTCCCATTTCCCTCTGTTTGAATCTCACATGAACAGGCTGAAGAGTGCAATCGAAAAGGTAAGGGATGGGGGTGCAGGGCCCCGGGCCCCATTCCAGGCAAACATTTAAATAAAGAAATGAAAGGTAATATGACTGTGGCCTATTGGCCAATAGGGGAGAGATTATGTGGGAGATGGTCTGCATAAGGCAGTCAAAACATGTCCTCGTGTAGGAAAGGAGGTTACTCCTTTTTGATGAGGGAAAATGTCATTACCATCAGGGTTTTAAGTGTATTATAGCATCATTGTTCATTAGTGAGTCAGCAGGTCAGTTATAGAGGAATTTCCTCTTAGCAAGTAACATGGTTCACTCTCTTCCATGAAGGCCATGATCTCCTGTAGGAAGATCTCTGAATCAAGTCTCCGTGTCCAGTTCTATGTGAGCCGTCTGATGGAAGCACTGGGAGAATTCAGGTAAGGTTCAAGGTTTGGAATCCAACAGGAAGTGATGAGCAGTACTATGACCAGCTGCCACGAGGCCATGTCTTAAAAGAATTGGGGACTGGCAATATTTAGTCATCTTAGTGTCCCTACCCATGAGAGTAGGTAAATAAAGCCAAAAACATTTGAGTAATCCTGACTGTGCCTGACAGTTCTTAATGGGATTAATTTTTTGTTTGTTGTGTTCTTGGGGTAGGGGTTGTTGTTTTGTGTTTATTTTGAGATGGGGTCTCACTATGTAGTCCTAGCTGGCCTGGAACTGCCTGTTAGACTGAGCTGGCTTCAAACTCAGAGATCCTCCTGCCTCTGCCTCCTGAGTGCTTAGATTAAGGTATGCATTACCACGTCTGGCTTAATGGGATTTTTTTCATCAGAATGAACTGGAAACTGATTTTAAAGATGTCTTGTAGTCAGTTCCATGATCTTATATCTGTCATCCCATAAACTTCAGGGCAAAGTCTTTTTACCCTTTCTACAAATGTTAAAACTGGGGTTCAAGGGTGCTACCTGTGCCCTGAGCGCACGGAGAAAATATGTGCATGTCGTGGAGATCCAGCTCTCATTTGTCAGGGCACATCTAGTGCACGTGCAGCGCTGTGGTACACGTCCTGGTCTGGATGATGAATCATCCGATGCCCCTTCTCTGACACTGTAAGCAGTTTTCTAACTAATCTAGGGCTCTACCAATCGTCAGTGGGCACTGGCATTCTGTCCTCCTTGCCCACAGAGTGTGGTTAGCAGGGTGATCTGCTGTCACATGGAATTTTCCCCCACTGTGCTCATCTGTGTTTCTCAGAGCCAGTCTCTTAACAGGGAATGGAATCTCACTGCAAAGCAGTGTGCCAGATAGCTGAGGGGTTAAAAAAACAATTACAGTTCTTAGAACATTAGAACATTTTTTTGCTGATGAGCTCAATGCTGCTTGAAGCAAAATCACTACAGTTTCTGACCTCCAGCTATAGATAAGGGACTGTTTAGGTTGTTTCATTTGATGAATGCCTTGAAGGTGTTGAGTAAGCTGTCTCTGTTGAGGGCAGCACTGTCATCCTGCTGTGGTCACATTCAGAGCTGACTTGTGCTTGGGAGACTGGATGCTAATCTAATCACAGTACTAATCTTTCAGAGGTAAAAACCTGAAAATAAAAATCAAGAGAAATCAGTACAGTTGAGTCACCTAGCAATCTCGTTTTCAGCAGAGCATGTGCTTTCACTGTCCTGCATATCTGTGTGTGCCCCCCCCCCCACACCTAATTCTAGATGGAGTCTTACTCTGTAGCTGTGGCTGCCTCACACTCATGGTTCTTCTGCCTCTGTCTCCTAAGTGCTGGGATTATTGCTATGTCCAGCTCTTGATCTGTATTTCTTTACCATAAGAACGCTGTGTGGAGCTGGGAGTGTAACTCAGTGATGAGTGCTTGTCGAGCATGGAAAAACGGCCAGGATTTAATTCTCACTGTTACAAAAGCAAAATAAACAGCACCTAAAAATGACTGTATGATACCCTATAAACCTGTAGAGTTCTTAAGTTTTTATGTATAAATTAAAAAATAAATTTTAAAAATGATTATAAATTCTGAAAAAGAACACTGATTTTTTTAACCTTTTATATTATTTTTGTGTGTGTGCAGTGTTTGAGATCAAGCCCAGAGCCGTGTACATGACAGGCAGGTACAATATCACTGAGCTACACCCTCGTACATTATTTTCTAAGTGAATGTTTTTATGTTAGGGATGGTGTGCTTTTTCTCTTGAGGGCTTCTACACTACCACCTAACTTTGCCATTGTCCCGCAGAAGCACTCAACAGATAATGCAAAAATAAATGGACATTTCTAGGTCCCAATAAAACTCTATTTTAAAAAATGGTAGCAATCAGATTTGTGTGAGTTATAGTTTTCCAACCTGTGTTCATTTATTTTTGAATTCCTTATGGAGTACATAGACCCAAATTACAGTGTTCAGCTTTGTTCTTTGATACTAAGATACCCACAATAACTATTTATTACAGTTTGTCCCTTCTTTCTCCTATAGACGGACTATCTGGAACTTATATTCTGTTCCAAGGATAGCTGAACCAGTATGGCTTACCATGATGTCAAACACCTTGGAAAAAAACCAACTCTGCCAGCGCTTTCTCAAGGAATTTATACTTCTGATTGAACAAGTCAACAAAAACCAGTAAGTATAACTCTCTTGAGACTTGTGGACTAATCCTGAGCCAGTGCATGTTCTGCGCAGGACATGCTTTGTCCTGTATTTGACTAATCTGGGTATACTTTTGTCTGTTTTCCCAAGGTTTTTTGCTGCCTTACTGACTGCGGTGTTAACCTACCACCTAGCCTGGGTACCAACTGTCATGCCTGTTGACCACCCTCCCATTAAAGCCTTCTCGGAGAAGCGTACCTCTCAGTCAGTGAACATGCTGGCCAAAACACATCCATATAATCCTCTCTGGGCACAGCTGGGTTAGTATCTGTTTTACTGTTCAGAGAAAGTGTCTGATGAAATAGGAAAAGAAATATGCTGGAAATTGTAGCTTGTACTGGCTTTCTCTTTCAGGAATAAGATACAGATCCAAATGGGCAGGCTCCTCTCCTCGTCCCTTTCCCTTGCTGGTAGCTTTGTTCTGCTCTTTTGAGATCTTGTAGGTAAACTGAGTTCTCCACACCCACGGAGGCTGTTCACCCTATCACGGTTTTTGTAACCACTGACTGTTTGTGCAGATATTTTGTGGTCAGGTTGTGATAGGGCAGGGGAGGGCTGTCTCATATCTTATAGGTTGTTCAGCTATATTCCTGGCCTCCATTCACTAAATGCTAGTACAACCCCTGTCTTCATAGAGTTGTAACCATCAAAATGTCTTTAAATGTTGCCAAATGTCAGTGGGAAGAGGAGCAAGAAAAGGAGTGAGAGCTGTTGTTGGAGTGGCTGGGGAGAGAAGACCAGAGGAAGGTGGCACACTTACATCTCACCACTGCTCTGACTGTACCAGAGATCCCATGTCTTATCTGTCACTTGGTCCTTGTACTTGATGAGTACATATGGGTTACTTGTCAACCCATATGTATATATGGGTTGGTACAGGACTCTTACACTGCGTGGGTGAGCCTGGGTTTACATATCTTGTTTTATGAGGCCTTGTTCTCAGGAAGCATTAAAGAGACAAGGTATGATCACATGACATTCTGTCCCACCCATGTGCTGGAACTCAGAGTTAGGTCACAGCTGTTCAAGCCTCAGTAGTCAGCTTCCTGGTGAACAACGTTGATCCTTGATCATGTCTTTTGACAACACCCTAGTGCTTGGATAAGAGTGTACAAGGAATCTGGGAGGTAGAGGCCTATTGTTTCCTTAGTTTCTGAAGGCAATCACTCAGTGTTCCTGTGCCTCTTCTTTCAATATGTTAACTATAGACCCTGGGGCTTTGTATATGGCCAGATAAGCACTGCACACATGTCAGATGGGATGGGGTCAGAACTTGTGACATGCAGTCACTTGTACCAGGCACCATTGCTCAGGATGCTGCTCCTGAAACTACATCGTGAGGCATTTACATAGAGAAGGCTTACTTGCAGGAATCTTCAAATGGTAATTGCTAGGGAAAGCAGTGAGCTGGGGGAAAGCACTGTAGCCTAAAAACAGAGTTTCAGAAGCTGTAATGAAAGCTGACACCACAGCACAAGGATACATACTCTCGGATGAGAGTCTCACTCTGGCCTGTCACAGTCACCCATAGTTTATAGCAGGAAATGTACTTTCTTGTCCTTGTGCCCACAAGACACAAAAGAAGATACAAGTTTTATAGGGTAAGTAATAGGCATGTCTTTAATGAATGAACTAAAGAATTTGCAGATAGGAAAATTATGTTAGACTGGAAGTGACTACTACACATGATTGTAATCTCAGGACTTGGGAGGCTGAGGCAGGAAGATTAAGAGTGGTAGGCCAGTCTGGGCTATTTAACCAAGGCCCCCCCCCAAAAAAAAAGAAGACAGTGCTTTATATTTTAATATTTGATACAATGAACAGTCCCAAACTTGCCACCTTGCTCAGGGTTGAGTAGCCCTGAGAACATACGTTGCTGTTCTCATTTGGGGGAAATAATTTTTTTAAAGTGTAGTATTTACTGCTGGAGGGGAATAGGCTGGACATTAAGGAAATACACTGTGGCCTGCTGCAGAGTCGATTTTCAAACAGTGGTAATTAAGCAGCATGCATTTAATTGATAAATACATTTAGACTTTGAAATGCTTCTCCTGTGGGTTTGAGCTAACTAGGAGCTGCTGACTCCTTGAGTTCACCATAATAAGGAAAACCCCTTCCTGTGGGCTTGCTTGTTGCTTTTCATTGGAGATAGACGCCCGTGAAGGTCTTCAGCTCTCTTCCTGAGAAGTCCCTCTGGAGACTGGGTGTTGGTCAGATGAGTTTTCGGAGGGAATGAAGCCTTGCACAGAGAAGGCGTCTGACAACCTTATAAAGACAAGCGTGAGTGACAGAGTCTCCATTATCACAAATGGTGAAAGCATTTCTGTGATTAGACAGAATGTACTTAAATTACGGTTATTTTCTGTGTGCTACAGTAGGAAGGAAAATGTAAGCTCTGGGGGCTAAACAGCAATGCAGATATGATTTTAATTTAGTTTCCTAAGTAATAAAATGGTTATATAGTGAATGATTTGCCCATGTCACTGAGGACTCACTGGGACAGCCTGCACTTCTCTTCTCACCTGTGTGGTGTCTCAGCCCCCTGAGCAGAGACGCTCAGTGCAATCTCTCTCCACACTCAAGGAATTGCTCCTAGGGGTGCAGTGATCCGGTGCCTTTGCCCCCATGGGCACCATGCACAAGGATTTCCACATTAGGGAGTTTACTCACCAGTGGCTGTGGAAGCGATTAGTGGGTTGGAAAAGCATTTCAACAGGATAGCAGGATAGAAACAGAAGGACTCACACACAGGTTCTGTAAAATGTGAGTTTTAGGACGTGGTGGCGTCTGTTGCTATAGGTGAGAAACCTGTGCTTGTGGTGATTGAGTTTTCTCCTGCTGCCTTCAAGATGGCCTTTTTGCCTTTGGCTTTTGACAGTTCAGCTTCAGGGTGTCTACTTTTACGTTTACTTAGGTTTTCCTTGGATTTTCATAGTTGGCATTCATTGACCTGTGTCACTCATGAAATTTACATTTGGGGGAGTCCTTGTTTTAAAATCTAGTTCTGCTCCAGTCTCTCTCCATCCTCTTCCCAGAATCCCTACTGTGTGCATATCACCATGTTTGAAGGAGTCCACAGACATGGGGCTGTATACATCATTCTTCATTCCTCTTGTTTCTCTGCCTCAGGATGGGTAATCCCACTTGACCTGTTTTAAACAGGCAATCTCTTTTTCTCCACCCTGATGAGATCTGATCTTCATCAGTGTCCAAGGATTATATGCACATTAGACTTGGCTATCACAAACATGGTACTTCTCATATTTAAGATCCTTGTGAGTTTTCCGTTGTATAGACAAGGAAAGAAACTCTTCAGGAGAGTCTGAATGAAATGCATCTCTGTGTTTCGGAGCATTATACTCTGTTTACAGCAATTAGTTATTTTCTGGCGAAAAAAAAGGTAATAAATACTTGTAAATCTAATCCAGCAAGAACACATACATGTTTCCTCTCCTGTAACTATAGAGAATGTTGTTCACCTTGATTTTGATGCTAACTGTCATCTAGCTTTACCTGACCTTTACCATAACTTTTTGTTCAGGCATGTGCATGGGCGCATGCATGCATGCATATGTCTACACAGACCTGTCCAGATGCATACAATCAACACTGTTGCTCTCTGCCTTGTCCTCTTGAGAAGGGCTTTGTCACCGAACCTGGAATTCTCTGTTCACCAGCAGTTTGGGTACAAGCACATGTGGTTATACCTGGCTTCCTGTGGACACTGGGAAGTGAACCTAGGTCCTCTGGCTTGTCGGCACTCTTGCTGAGTTATTTCCCCAGACTTTACTCAGCAACGGCCTCCCTTTTCATCCATTTCATTTACAAATGTAGTATCTTCTTTTTCTAAAGACTCCCCATTTTCCAATTTTTATGGAAGATTTTGAACCCTTCCCCTGCATAAGGGACTTTGTGCCTCTTTTCTAGTTTTGCTGCTGTGTGCTAGCTACATGAATAACCCTTCTTTAAGATTGGTGAAGCCTTGTTTGTGTACCCTGTTACATGAAAAGTCATAGACTGTGCTGCTCCAACACTCAGAAAATTAATTTAAAATATATATATCAAAATATATAAGGCTCAAGCTATCTGGTAAAATTTTTACATCTGTGTACTTAGGAGTCGGAAGTGTTGCTTTTTCATACTTGTGACAGAATCATTGTATGTAGTCTAGGCTGGCCTGGAACTCACTGTATAGCCTGTGCTGGTCTTGAACTCACGATCCTCTTTCCTCAGCTTCCATAGTAACTGAGACCATAGACCCACACCACCAGGACTAGCTTGTATGTGGTAGTAGCACAGAGGCTGCAGTCACAGAAACACCCATGAATTCTGAAGTGATTGTGATGTACTGAAACCTGGGGAGACAGGATCAGAAAGAAGGCATGGCATCAGCCTGTGCTGAGGGCAGTTTTCTCAGGCCAAACCATAGCATCTCACACACTTCTGAGTCTTTACTCTGAATTCCAGGATGGCTTCTTAGATGCTGAGGCTCCCTTAGCCTTCAGTCCTGTCCTTTTATAGAGAAAATTGTTTATTATTATCTCTGTCTTGCTCTTTAAATGATCTTGGAAGCTGTGTGCTAGGGAAAACTCTGTGAAGGACAAACTTCCTTATGGTTCCCTGGGGAGAAAACTTCCTGCTCATTCTCACAGTCTCTCGTGACCTCAGTCTACTAATTTTAGTTGTCTCTAACCTGTGGCTTCCTGCCTCTCTCCGGATGCACTCCTCAGCTGAGTCTTGACTTCCCGAGTTCTTCCTTGTCACTGAGCATCACCTCTCATATATGCAGCTCCCCTTCCAGCACTGGTCGCTTTCAGCCTTCTTTGTTCTAGCTTAAGATTTAGATTCCTGCCTGTAATTACTTCTTTGTTCTAGCCTAGGATTTAGATTCTTGCCTGAAATTTCTTCTTTGTTCCAGCCCAATGTTAGATTCTTGACTGCAGTCCATTTCCTTGTCCTTGGCCAATGACAGATTCCTGCCAGGCAGCCCCAAAAACTCTCCACATCTCCCCCTTTTTATTGCATAAACAAGACTGAACCTGTCTTAGGTCATTCTGACAAGAATGCCTTCCTTACTTGTCGTGGAATATGCATTATCATAAGCAATGCACTTCTGTCTTAGGTTGGTAAGGTTCTGTGCAGAATCTTACCCATCCTTGGCTAGCCAGACTGTTCAATTAATATCTCTGTCTGGGGGTCCATTACGGTACTTTTAAAAATGTGTTCTTTGAGAGTTTCACATGTTTTGATCATATTCACC